TTTTTTACTCCTCTACACGCTCCCGAAGTTTTGCCATTTAATTTGGAAACACCCTGTATACGCACACTCTCTGATCAATTATAATTTTTTATTCTGCTATATCGCATATCTACTCTTTAAAATTTTTGAAGTTGAATCTAATTCTAAAAAGTGACAAAGCGTTACAATTAAACCAGTGTTGAAAAAGAGTGGCTCAGTTGTCAATTTTTAAGAGTAAAATTTCACTCTTTAAAGTTAGATTCCACTTCAAAGATTTTCGAGAGTAAACATGTCGAAACGCAACGTATTTTGTGCTAAAAGCATTTGTTTGAAATAGTAGTTTGTATAGCATGATTTTAGCTGAAAAAATCAAGCGAAATGGATATGGCACACAAGGGAATTAGAGGAAATGCGGAGTCGACAGGACATAGTCTCCGATGCTCACGTACATGAACCGGTTTATATTTAGGGATGACACGAGTTGGCTCGAGATAACCCAGAGGAAGGATGGACTTGCGCGAACGTTCTTGTAGGAAGGGGTGGTTTTACGCGCGCGGCAGGGTGTGCGTTAATTGATGTAATTATATCTTCCTTGCAGCGAGATACGCTCGCTTCGCGCGCTTGTATGCAAAGAGAGATACGCATACGCGTGCATGCAGAAAACGGCGGGTCAGCAGGATGTAGGTGTTCGTATATGCGATATATTGCGCCGATGCGACAGGACATTTATGTAGAAGGGTTCAACTGCAATCGAGTCCCCCCCCTAGTAATAACATACTATTATTGTGCTTAAATCGGCCACTTGATAATTGATGGCGGTTATTTTCTTGATAATCAGCAATTACAGCAAAAAGAGAGAAGGGAGAGATAAAATATAAACAGAATACTATTCTACGTTCTTTCATCAGAATAATCGAATATACAAATGACTTCGTAATTGTAAGATAAATATAGCAGTTAATGGATGTGACCCAGTTATTGGACGAAATGACTAAAGTTTTAAAATTAAGCCTTTAATAACATGTGCGACTCTAAATAAACTCGTCTTATTAAATTTTTATAGACAACGAATTTATTTAGTTATATATACAAAAACTCAATATTTAATTTGTTATCATTTCGTTCAATAATAATTGAGTCATGTCCATTAACTGGTACATTTACCTTATATTCTTTTATATTCTATCCAGATTGCTATGTTGTGTGTGTATTCTAATTAATATTATAGTCTAATCAAGACACATAAATAGCTGTACGTGCTCCAAAAAATATCTTATTTAAGATAACTTTCAGACGTCTTTTCAGAATCTTAACAATGTTTTTAAAACAAATCTTTTGAGAGAAAATCTTGAAACATCTTTTAGATATGCGTGTTATCTGACAAACTACCATGTTGAACAACAGTAGCAGATTTTTTTCTGGAGCATCTCAAGCTCTAGCGATCGCGTCACTTTGTAAACGGCATTATCACAAAGGAGGTTTCGCTCTTGCAATCAGGCCACTTTCAGCGCTTTGCGATATATGTGTATCAAGGTGCTTGTTCAATGATCCCTTTTCGATGTAGCGCTATACGTACTCTTTGTACGGGACGGTGTCACGCGTCGGTAATAGAGAAACATTGAATCGCTTCCTTTCTAGTACCTTTGTTCACCTATACAAAGAGGAAAGCTTCGAAACGCAAAACAAATATGCCTGGCGAAGTCATTTAGTAACTGGGAAACGTACAAAACATTTACTACGATCCTCGGATTCCGTTCATGAATTTGCAGCGACGATCGACGAGTGGTGCTACACAATCCGCGTTGGTAATCGAAAAATACGAAAAGCCAATTGTATCCCTTAACTATATCGCTGTATCGCTATTTCTTTCTTTCCTTTCATCGAGACGTAAGAAAGCGAGCGATAAAAGAAAAGTTACTTATAGCGCTTCCTACTCTACAAATAGCGAAGTTCTATTTCGCGTTGGATAAAACGTGGGATTAGGAAAAGCGGGGTGAGTCGCGTTACTATATAGCGAGGTAGTAGGAATATCCCTCCGGAGAGATCGATAGAAGTTCCAGTTGATCGAGCATTTTGCATCGACTGTCGCGGCAGGCAACACCGATGCATCGATGCTGAATCCGTTGTTGCTGGGCTTGGCAGCCATGGCGACCCTTTTGGCCCTGGCCGTTGCTGGAATCCTAGCGGCGCTCTACCGGAAGCACTCCACCGGCCGACCCGGAAGTCCAAAGCACGCTCCCATCGTATGCGAGCCGCCTAATGCAGGTGCAACCACCCCGGTGCACTCTCAGACCAAGCAGGCGGTCGATGACATCGATCCAGACATCATACCCAACGAGTATGGTAAGTACGTCAGTATTTCGTTGGAAAAGGTTTACATGAATTGTGTATATTGGCCCTTTTTTTATGTCGATAAAGAACTGAGCTATCATTTGCATTATTTTTCAATTTTGTCGAAATCACCGCGAGAAAATAGAAGTGAGATGATAATAATATTTGATATTGATTTTTTCCGAAGAAATATAAAATTACTAAAAGTAAAATTACCTACATATACGAAAAATTTCAATAAGTTTTCAAATTTCAATTATAGGATGAAATATTGGCTGCATTCAGAAACGTCGGATGCCTTCGATGCTTCGGATTCATCATCTGTCCTTTAACATTAAATATTATTATGTATTTTAACATTAAATGTTAAACAAGGATAGATGATGAATCCGAGGCATCGGAGCGACATTTCCGAATGTAGCCATTAACTATACTTTTCATTTTTAAAACGCATGGTATAGATGAAAGTAAATATATCTTATTTTAATTGTTTGTTTCTACAGTTCTATATTTTTAAATAAACAAAATAAATATCTCAATGTGTTCTTGATAGGAGATAATTAAATAAATTATATCGTAGTAAAGAATTCTAGAATATCATTCGAGAATATCATTGGCTGTGATTATTTTTGTACAGACTTCGAAAAATAGAGATGCAGTAATACGAGTAATAACGACAGTATGTTTAATATTAAATTAAATTAAACAAGTTGTTGATTTAAAAATTTAAACCAACATTACTATATATCTAAATATTTTTCTCATTTTCTCTAATAAATTCATATTATATTATCCATAAATTTCTTGTAAGCTGAATCGTATATTCTGTTAATCTTCATGTATGTATAAATGTAATACGGTTAGATTATTAGCAGCATATAGAAATATTACATCGACATTCAATAGTCGATATTTTATAATTTACGTTCAACTTCGTTTGTGAATTATATATGAATCTTTTAGCATGCCAATAATAATTCAACTGAGCTCTTTGTATAATTAATTTTATAATTGTATCAAATTAAGAACTTCCATAAAATATTCTCGAAAAAGATAAACATATTGCTGATAAATATGTACTTTCGAAATAATATTCTAAATCTGCGTGAATATGAATATAATAAAACCCTTTTATATGACATCATTTTCCAAGTGTATAATAATAAACACGTAATGTTAGTTTTTGTACTTATAGCAAACGAGTCCATGAAACAAATTTCTCATTTAAATTCATTTCAGCGCGATGTTACTTTTTCCATGAAAATACATTTCCATTTGCGATATTAATACGCGAACTACGTCGCGGCGAGCGAACTACGTGAATAATGATAATGTCGGGAAATGAAGTTGGATTGAAATACTTAAAAATCGAGAGATCTCTCGTAAATTTCGCCTTTCGTAATGAAAGTTTCATCGATAGAATAGTGCAAATTCTTGCAGGGTTTTTTCACAATTTCTCACAATTTTTCACAATTTCTATCTTTCTCGATGCAAAAAAAAAAGATGGAAACCATAACTACGAATTAGTCGTGAAGCTTATGTTTTTTCACATTTACAAGAGATAAAGTACTTATAAAAAAATGGCTGTTCCTTTCTCCTGATTTAATCGACTAAGCAGCTTAGTCGTTCGGTCTCTGCATGGCTTCCGTAAATCTGTCCGCAGAAAGAAGACCCCTAACATATACCCCCGTCTATAAGACACCGCCACAACGAAGAAAGAAAGATCGCGCCACCGATGAAGACACCTCGCCGGAGAAAAGGCCGATCGTTCAGCACGGTCTGGACCTGCCTCCGGATCCGATGTTGACTGACTGCCTGCCAACGCCTACCATAAATTATCCGCAAAATCACGTGTCTCAGCAAAGCGCTTATAATCATCCGCCCACGATGGCTGATTTCAAGCAGATGGCGATGGACGCCTTTAATCAGCGTAACAACCAAAACGTAAGTAATTGTAATGTAATATTGCATCTTATTTTGTTATTTCTTCATCATTAATCTATAAGTATCCGTACTATAAAGAAATTAATTCTTTGTCAAGGAAGAAATCCATGATATTATGATTGAAGGAAAGTGTAATTGTATTAAGATTAGGAAATGAATTCAATATGACCGATAACATTATAACATTATACATTATACATTATAACATTATACATTACACATTATAACATTATACATTATAACATTATAACATTATAACATTATAATAACATTTGGATTACAAATAGCGCTTATTTAATATTCTAACAAAATGTTGAACAAGAAGACTTCTTAATATTTTCGCACAAATTAGCGAGCGAGGAGGAACAAGGAAAAAGTAGGTCGAATTATGTTCGAGCGCATCAAACAAGCGCTGCATTTTTTATTTTTAATGTCTGATTTGATCTTCGTTGAAATGTTGCGTCTAACTTCCGCAAAGCTAAATCAGAAAGGCTGTTTTAAATATTAGAAGCTCGAAGCAGAGTGATGGGAAGTTAGTCAAGAGGAGGAATCGGTTGCTTCAATATGCGGCAGTCTCCCACTTTAACTTTTCCGGTTTAGCAGAATCTTGAGTTATCTGCGCTTTCGTAAGTTTAATTACGTCGAAGTTTTCTCGATAATTTGACGAGGCCAGTCCCGATGTGCAGGACTCGTCTTCATATTCCGCTGTTCTTCTTCAGCGATTGCTTTTTATTTAGATAACTGAATTAATTGTGACATATTTAAAAAATACGCGGCGAGAGATGCAAATTTATTAATTAATCAATAATTGGTTCATCGATTTGTTAAACTAATAATTGGTATTAAAAATGTAGTGCAATGTTCAAAATTTATTAAAATTATCATCGAATAATAACAGCTTTATAAAATATATAATGTTATAAGCCATCGAGGTCATAGAACAAAAAAAATACAAAAGACAAATAACACTTTGTCTTTTTTAAAAACTGTTTATTTAGAAATGAAAGTTTTTGGAAGTTTTTTCTGAACGAAATCAGCGCATGTCATTTTTCACACAATTTCATTAATTTGAAACCTCTTTTGTGTACATGTGTCATCGGCGAAAGGATTAAATTGAATATATTAAAATCTTTTGACTTAATACTGTTTTCGCACGTTAAAACGAATGAATTGTATAACACATGTATCTCTTTTTTAATCAATAAAATAGTCTAATGAATGTCGGACGTGATTCCTGCTTTCAGATATATTATAGCCTTCAGAGGACGAGCAAAGGGCTCTCGTCGATGCCACAGAGGCCCGTTTCATCGTCGATCTCCGCGCAAGGCAAATTCCATCAACCTGAAGTGGTGACACGCTCGAATCGGATACAGGAGAGCTGTATATAAGTTCGAAGGTTTTCCCTGCGGGATCAACCTCGTGAGCTTCTAAGACGCCGCCGGCGATTATATTTACACGTGTAAATGTAACGAGTACGTGCGGAGAACAGCGTAGGATCCATGGATCCCCGAGACGCGAGCGCGAAGTCTAACGTGGTATCTTCCCATAGTTGGTACACGAGTTTCGAACCACTCCGCGAAACACACTTAACGTTTACTGTACAAAACCATAGAGAGGCTGATGGTGTGTTCCAGATCGTATTGATGGGAACGCGGTCTCTCCTCGAGATTACGTTATGCCGATGCCGCCGGGGACGGCGCTACATTTTCATATATAATTTTACGGGGAAGACAAGGAAATGACATTAGTAAGTTAGAAAGGTACCCGTACATGTCCAAAAATATTTCTTTACTGCCATACTGAGGTATTAACGGTATATCGTAACGTACAAAGAGTCTAACCCCTAAAAGTAGTTAATGTCAATAACGAAGGAGATGAGGCTGGGTCAAAGCGAGCTAAAGAAAATTTTAATGGCGCTTTATACTTTATTCATATACTTCCAGTTTTCAAGTCGCGCATAAAATGACGTCTTTATACATATATATTATAATATCTTAACATATTAATTCTTTTGGAACACTTTTACAATTTATTAAAATTACTTTCAAGTAGTTGCCCTTACAACAATTATAAGATAATACGATCGAGAATATTATTTTTTCGATCAAAGCTCATTCTCCAGCCTTATCCTCAAAATACTAACGATATTAATGTGATCGTATTCGAAGCTCATCACTGCTCATGTTTTTCGTATGCAAAATTTTTATAACAACTCAGACAGAAAATAAATTCGTTCAAAAGACTTCGCCGAACTCGAGAGAATCTCTTAAGGAGCGACGTCTTCGTTCCCGATCACTGATGCGGCACACGAACGTGGATTTTACTGTTTATATGGAACTAGTTTTTGTACAAAGATCTATTGTAAATAGACACGAGCCTGGCCCTAGAATTATAGTCACTAATGTCCGAATTTCATCCGTTACACATCCGTTAAGTCGAGAGATGTCCGATCGCGTAAGATAAAACTCGATGGCATACGAATACGAATAAAGAGAATACGTTTCATCTGTTTTACACAAACAAGCTCATTTTCTTATCTTTCCTTGGCTTTACGTACTCCTTTCCATTAAAACCAAAGAACGAACAGCATGAAAAGTAAAATTTCTATGGTACGTGAGACGAATTTACTCGCGCAACGTATATACTTGTGTTACTTTTCCATTATACTTTTTCATTTCTAACGTAAACGAAATTTCTATGCGTTTGAATTTAACAACGTGGGTGTACACGTTACACAACTCGTACTTAATACGATATTGCTCGATACATCTCCATTTCCTGTTGTACTTAATGATGTAAAATACGTATCAGTTATTTTGCCATTTTACTGAAAGAGCTCAGCTTTTCTTTATTAACGAGAATATTCGTGAGCCACTACTATTTTAAGAGAATATGTAATTATAAGAACTTTATAAATTTAATTTTACTTGATTTGCATCTTCATTTCTTAGGTAAGTACTTTCAGATTTCTAATATACCTTCTAATATACCTACACAGGCATGAATAATTACGGAAGATAGCAGCATTTAATAATAGTTGAAAATGCAAATGTTTAATGCCATGTCTCGGTAGAGACGCGTCGACATCGCAATATGGGGGAGAGGCAATATATTTCGCAAAAAGAAAATTGCCACAGGCGAGACGTATCGCACCATTTCCTCGAGATAAACGCGCCGCGCGAGATGGCTGAAGTGCTTTAAGGAAAACAGATCGTCGCGCCTCTCCATTAGCTTCGAAGAGAGCTGCAAAAGCGTCCTGACAGCTAGGTGAGCATCCTATTGGACGAAGAACAGTAATTCGAGCATTTCGGGGGAATACGAGGACGCGCTACAGTGTTTGCATACATTGTGCATTCTCGGTCTTGCTAACAAGGACTAACCCAGGTTGCCGGAGTAACCTATTATTCTATGTGCCATCCGTGTCTCCAGGGCTGTTAAGACGACCTATTCCGCTCCTAACGCTGTCGTAGCTATCCCCCATCAGACTGTCACCCATTCCGGCTGCGAATTGCGAGACATAATTACGATTCATCCAGGCATCATAATCGAATGATATCGCAATACGTGCAGATGGAACGGTCAATGATCGCACATCGTACCTCATGGTATTCAGTCGACTAATGCTCTGATTGAATCACAAATCCACAATCTAGCCCACACTATTTCCTCATAATGCTGAGAAGATATCGGTTTTATTTTGACGCTTCTTTCTTGTGAAATAAACATCGTTCTCTTTATTTTTCGTCGATAAAATGTTGGCTCTTCATAATCAATGAAATAATTTATCAAGACAGACGGATATTGATTCAATTTAAAAACGGAGAAATTAAGGGCATATACCACGAACGCTCGATGTTTTCTAGCGAAGCTTATCTTAAAGTCAATACATATAGAATTACAATTAATAGACGTTTCGGCCTTCAATTAGGCCATCCTCAGTATATAAAATTTAAAATATAAACGAAATAGTGTATATAGTACAATTAATCTAAGATATTTCTTTTTTAACATGTCTACATGTAAGTACGCTCGTTGAATTTATTTTTCTACTTTCTTTAGTTAGTTACATATTTGAATGTATCCAGCAAATTTCGTTTTATGTTCCAAATTGTTTCCGATAGCTTTAGGTATTAGATAGCTTAAGGTATTAGATTGTAATTGAACACAAAATTTCCAGATTCTAATGATCATAATGTATCGTGATAAGTACAGAGGTTGCAATCATCTAGCAAGTTATCACTCATAAATTTAATATCTGTGTTCCAGTAAATTTGTAAAGATTGGTATCGTAATTGGATAATACAAGCTATCGGAAACAATTTGGAATATAAGACGAAATTCGTTGGATACATTCAAAAATATGTAACTAACTAAAGAAAGTAGAAAAATAAATTCAACGAGCGTATTTACATGTAGACATGTTAAAAAAGAAATATCTTGATAGATTAATTGTACTATATTCACTATTAATTGTACTATATTACACTATTTCGTTTATATTTTTAAATTTTATATACTGAGGATGGCCTAATTGAAGGCCGAAACGTATATTAGTTGTAATTTCTATATTGTCTTTAAGATAAACTTCGCTAGAAAACATCGAGCGTTCGTGGTATATGCCCTTAATTTCTCAGTTTTTAAATTTTGACCACGTATTGATATTTATTGTTGATTCAATTTATTTTGTAGACAAAAAATATTATTAATAATTGTTTGTTGATAATTCGGTGTCCTTGCTACAGTTTGTAATATGTTTGTCATCAATTATAATCATAAAAGCAATATATTAAAATTTACAGAAATTTGTACAAAAAATTATATTGGCGGTAAATTGTTTGCCATTTTTGTAAGAGGAAAAGGTATTGCACTACGAAGTTTAAAAAGTAATCGAATCGTGAAGCAGCACGCTCAATTAGCTATGGAAATCATTTCCGACGGTAAGTCTGGCACGATAATCCCGCAAAATGATTCCGAGGTTGCCTCTATTTTCGACTCTATTTTCTTGTCGCCGAAGATTCTATATATCGGTTGAGTTACAAATATATATATATGAAATAAACAGAATAAAAATACATGTAGCAAAAACATGCAAAGTCATGCAAAGTTTATTGATACAGGATCGATAGGATAAAAAGTTTCGCTTTTTTCTTTTTTTATCAATCTAGAAAAAAAACTCAGGAATAGATAATATGCCTTGTTTTTAAACATTAATAAACAATTTGTATCTTTTCATGAAATAAAATTTTTAATAAATAGTTGATATTTTAACTTCTTCATTTTTCTACTGTTTATATGAAAATATTAATTTATTATTATTAACATGATGAAAAAATCAATTTAAAAAATCTGAATAAAGAGAATAAAAGTTGTATAAAAATTCAAAAACGTTATTGATATGTAACTATCTTTATTGATATGTATTATAATTATCTATCACTAAACTATTATAGAAACAGTATAAATATACAATATCATAAATGAGTTACTGTTTCCATAGTTTAGTGATAAATAATTGTGTATTCGCTGATACATAATATACAAGAAAAATGAGGTTTTTAATAATTTATATTTTTAAATTATATTTTTTGAACAAGAAGGATTAGTAATAATTATTTATGTGCATGTTTTAACATAATTAATATAATACGTATTTATAGCACAATCATGTCATTATATATTCACGTAATAATTGATGAGTTCGTGCCATAGCATCGTGAAACAAGAACTGCACTTATGTATCACATAATTTCATCCATTAAATTCAAAAACATTATTTTAAACCTCATGCTTTCATCGAACCAGGCAAATGATTATAAATTCTCAATTACGTTCCGATTGTTTGCTCAGCGAGCAAACTTGTTTTGCTTCTATTCTTAATTAATACCATTATAGTGTCAATTAATATCTCTCACAAAAAACCGTTACATAAAAATTATTACAGTATACAAAAAATGAAATGAAATCTTTAAATTGCCCCAATTGAAAGAAATATATTTTCTTGCAACATATAACATATACTTTATTTAAAAAAGTAAAAGTACAAAAAACTTGGCGCTACTAGACCTCAAAATATATAATGAGCGAATGTTACATAAAAGAAATAAAGTTTACTACAATTAATTTTTAATTGTTTATTATATTTTTAAATTAACATTAAAATTACAATCACAATTACAATTAAGATTATAGTTAATTTTAAACCTACTCTTAAATCTATCTTAAACCTACTTCGGATCATTTTTATAACGTATGTCTTACAAATCTAAGATTATCCTATGATTAATTCTATTATATCGCTTTTACAATATACAATGTACAACGTATAAATACTTATTCTATACTTATTCTATACTAAATCTAAGCCGCATATCTATTTAAATTATTTGCTCGCACATATGCACACACTGTATATTATTAACACGGAACAATCTCACGCTGTATGTTCACTTGGCACGAGACACTATGTACTGTGTCTCTTGATAGTCTATTGTATTTTCTTTCTTAAATCTTTTCAATATTTTTCTTATTCGATATTATTTAATAATCTTATTATTGTATATTTTGAAGTCTAGCAGCGCCAAGTTTTTTGTACTTTTACTTTTTTAAATAAAGTATATGTTATATGTTGCAAGAAAATATGTTCCTTTCAATTGGCGCAATTTAAAGATTTCATTTCATTTTTTGTATACTGTAATAATTTATGTAACGGTTTTTTGTGAGGGGAACACGCACACTTGGCGCCTTTTTTCCTTTTTTTTAAAAAGGTAATTTTGTTGAGATATCACGCATTTTATAATATTAAACATCTTTTAAATTATCGGCGCGCAATCACATCTGGAATAAATTGATTCAAAGAATATATAATAATGTATAATATTATTCGAAACATCTAACTTTGACCGTTTATAGTGTTCTTTATTGTATTTGATATATTTATACATACGGTCGTGCTTAAAATTTGACAGTTCGGACTTCGCATCGCAATATCTCCATTCGTTAGGTATGTAGGCCATAAAAAACAATTTTATTATATAATTTAAACT